TTTTTATTTTGGTTCAGGATGTGTGCTAGGTTGCTTCATTGGTGTCTGACACTTTGCAACCCTATGGACTGTAGGCCCCCCAGACTCCTCTGCCCATAGGATTCTCCCGGCAAGGATATTGGAGTGGGTTGCCATATCCTCCTCCAGGGGATCTTCCTGATCCAGGGATTGAACCTGTGTCTCTAATGTCTCCTGCATTGGCAGGCAGGTTCTTTAACACTTAGCACCACCTGGGAAGCCCTTGGTTTGGGATAGGTGGGGATTATACTTTTTCAGGCAGCAAGGGAGAGGACATTTCCATGTAACTCCATACATCGGGGACTTACTGCAAAGATACCAGATCTCTGTGCCTGTCATCCCTCTGTATCTCCCTCTCACTACCTCATGTACCTTTCATGGATTCTTCCTGATGCCCTCAAGCTCTCTCCCCTCTTACTTATTACTTCTCCAAGCTGATAGTCTGCCTGGGTCGTCCGACATTTAATTTCAATCATTTCTTACTGGTCTGCCCTTAATATTGGGCCTTCATTCTCAGTCTAATCAGTCAATACAAGCTGAGCCAGGTTGATTTCGTTTGAATCAACAATGAATTGCTAAAAGCTGCATTTCCTAGAAAAAGTGGCAATCTAATTGGCAGATGCTTGAGACACTAATGTTAAATGGAAAAAGAAAAATAAATTTTTGGTATGGGGTCTGTTTTCAACCTTTGTTTTAGAAACTATTAGAAGGAGAGTGACACAAAAGGAATCTAAAATTTGTTTTACATTGTATTAATTCTTACCAAATTTCTACAAAAATAAGTATTGTACATTTATAACCAGGGGGAAGAAACCCAAACTGACTCTGGGGAAAATGATCACTTTGCAAATTCACATCATGTACCCCTACTTTTTTTTTTTTACCCCTACTCTTGATTTAGCTCATGTTCTTGGTATAAATATCTATATTTGAAGTATCTACAAATAAAATTCGCCTTGAAACAGAAAGCCTCGTGTTTGGATGCAGCTTAGTCAGGGGGACTGGGTGCAAAAACTTAGAAAGATCCTGTTCCTAAGGCCCCATACTTCCCTACTCTTTGTATGACCATTATTTACTGCCAGATTTTATTTATTCAATAAATCCCCTAGTAACTTGAGGTTTGCTAATTTTGTTTGGGATAAGGTTGGGCAGAGTGTCCGCTGTTTTCTTTAATAGACCAAAATATTATTTCTGTCTGTTGATGATGGTCATTACTGTGGGCCCTAATAATTCCCTAAATAAAGCTACTCACTTCTAAATACTTTTGGTTTTAGTGCACTAGAATTCATAACTCTCTGTTAGAAATGGAAGAGGTGTCTCTTAAGGCCCCATGAAAAAAATTCATGTCAGACTGCCATGTGCTTCTGTCAAGTTTTTTTCTTGATACATATTGAGGATGAAATTTCAGCATATGCTTTTACATACATGTGTGCTAAGTCGCTTCAGTCATGTCCAACTCTTTGCGACTCTGTGGACTGTAGCCCACCAGACTCCTCTGTCCATGGATTTCTCCAGGCGAGAATACTGGAGTGGGTTGCCATTCCCTTCTCCAGGGGATCTTCCCCACCCAGGGATTGAAGCCAGGTCTCCTGCGTTGCAGACAGATTCTTTACCTTCTGAGCCACCAGGGAAAGCTTATGCTTTTAGACATCTTGATTTTTCTTTCCCACTTCTTTTCAGTTGAACCTGAAAAATTCAGTGAAAAAAATTTTTTCTTTCAAGAATAAGCTAGAAAGACCTCTACTGGATGGTCAAAAAAAGATTGACTAATTAGTCCTAATTAAGTCCTTTACTTAAACCCTTATTATCTGAGATCCAACTTCAAGCATGTATGTATGCTCAATCACTCAGTCCTATCCGACTCTAGAACCCCACTGACTGTAGCCCACCAGTCTCCTCTCTCCATGGGATTTTTCCCGCAAGAATACTGGAGTGGGTTGCCAGTTCCTCCTCCAGGAGATCTTCCTGACCCAAGGATCAAATTTTTGTCTCCTGCTCCCCCTGCATTGCAGGTGGGTTCTTTATCACCAGTGCCATCTGGGAAGACCTTCCCACTTCATAATGACTTCCAGAAATGTTCCACAGATGTAGATGCCCTCATCCCCGTGTTTGGTGATCCAGCCCATCCAGCCAGTGGGAGTGGAGAAGGAAAAGTGAAAGGGACATACATTTCCTGAAAGATGTTTTTGCCACTTCTGGCATCCTGTAGCCAGAAGTGAGTCTTAGTATGATCAGAGGTGGCTGCAAGGTTGGCTGTGACAGGTGCTCTCTTACTGGGTTCTGTTACTAATTGAAAGTGGGAAGAGTGAATGTTGGGGGATAACTAGTAACTATTAACTCACATGATGGGTTATATTAATTGTATAAACAAGGAAACTCATTTGAATGTTTTATTCACAGGGATGCCATGATCATATTTGTTTCAAAACATAATTTTTCCATTAAAAAAATGGATTGAAGGGAGCCTGAGGCTCCTCATGAGTGTTACAAGGCCATTCCTAAAGTCTCAATGAGAGATAATGGCTAAGACTTGGTGGTAGCAGTAGAGAGGATAAAGGGGATGGAATGAATTCAAAAAATACTGAAGAGCTAAAGTTGGCAGATGAAATGGGGGCAGAAGAGGTAGAGAAGGTAATCCCTAGATTTCTGGCTTGTGTTGAAGACTCTGGAGGAAGACAGGGTTTGGAGATGAGGTATTCATTGACTCCTAAGTCTGACTTTGGAAACATCTGTGAGAAGGGCTGTTTCTACTCATCCAAAATATCATTCAGAATAAATGAACTCACAGTCCACCAACTCACAGTCAGCGAGTCTCAAACCTAGTCATTGTCAACTAATCTGTTCAAATGAACATTTCCCTGTGAGGTTTTTGTTGTTCAGCAGCTAAGTGGTGTCTGACTCTTTGCAACCCCATGGACTGCAGCATGCCAGGCTTCCCTGCCCTTCACTGACTCCCAGAGTTTGTTCAAATTCATGTCCATTGAGTCGGTGATACCATCCAACTTTCTCATCCTCTGCCATCTCCTTCTCCTCCTGCCCAGAGTCTTTCCCAGCATCAGGGTCTTTTCCAGTGAGTCAGCCCTTCCCATCAGGTGGCCAAAGTATTGGAGCTTCAGCTTCAGCATCAGTCCTTCCAATGAATCTTCAGCTGATTTCCTTTAGGACTGACTGGTTTGATCTCCTTGCTGTCCAAGGGACTCCTAAGAGTCTTATCCAGCACCACAGTTCAAAAGCATCAATTCTTCCATGCCCAGCCTTCTTTATGATCCAACTCTCACATTCATATATGACTACTGGAAAAACCATAGCTTTGACTTTACAGACCTTCGTCAGCAAAGTGATGTCTCTGCTTTTGAATACACTGTCTAGGTTTGTCATAGCTTTCCTTCTAAGGAGCAAGCATCTTTTAATGTCATGGCTGCAGTCACTATCCACAGTGATTTTGGAGCCCAGGAAAATAAAATCTGCCACTGCTTCTACTTTTTCCCCTTCTATTTGCCATGAAGTGATGGGACCAGATTCCGTGATCTTAGTTTTTTGAACACTGAGTTTTAAGCCAGCTTTTTCACTTTCTTCTTTCACCCTCATCAAGAGGCTCTTTAGTTACTCTTCACTTGCTGCCATTACAGTGGTATCATCTGTATATTTGAGGTTGCTATTTCTCCCAGCAGTCTTGATTCCAGCTTGAGGATTCCCCGTGAGGGTTCCTTGTATTAAATGCCTTTGTATGTGTCACATGCCACAGAGTTGTCTATTGCACACACACACACAGGAAAGCCAGCCAAGCAGGAGTCTTTTAAACAGTAAAAGGCCTTGCTAATTTCAGCTATGCTCGTCAATCATGAACAGTCTTTTTTCAGTATATTATTTTTTAAAACTTCTTATTTTGTATTGGATGGGATGTAGCCAATTAACAATGTTGCGATTGTTTCAGATAAACAGCAAAGGGACTCAGCCATACGTCCATATGTATCTGTGCTCCCCCAAACTCCCCTCCCATCCAGGCTGCCACATAACATTGAAGCAGAATTCCATGTGCTATATAGTAGATCCTTGTTCGTGTCCATTTTAAATATAGAAGTGTGTTCATGTCCATCCCCCAAAACCCTAACTGTCTCTTCCTCCAGCTTTCCTCCCAGCAACCATAAATTCAGCCTCTAAATCTGTGAGTCTGTTTCTATTTCGTAAGTAAGTTCATTTGTATCATTTCTTTTTAGTTTCCACATATAAGGGATGTCATACAATATTTCTTCTTCTCTATCTGACTTACTTCACTCAATATGACAACCTCTAGGTTCATCCGTGTTGCTGCAGATGACATTATTTCATTCTTTTTAATGGCTGAGTAATATTCCATTGTGTATATGTGTGTGTTTATATATACATACCATATCTTCTTTATCCTTTCCTCTGTCAATGGACATTCAGGTTACTTTCAGGTCTTGGCTGTTGCCAACAATACTGTAATGAACGTTGGGGTGCGTGTATCCTTTCAGATCATGTTTTTATCTGGATATATGCCCAACAGTGAGGTTGCAGGGTCATATAGTAACTCTATTTTTACTTTTTTAAGGAACCTCCATACTTTTTTCCATAGTGATTTTTCCAGTTTACATTCCCACCAACACTGTAGGAGGATGAACAGTCTTCTTGTATTGGGAACATGTACAGGACCATTGGTCATATAAGAATAATACTCACATAGCTTTGCGTGCAGGCTTCCCTGATGGCTGACTGATAAAGAATCCACCTGCCAATGCAGGAGACACAGGTTCATTCCCTGAGTCGGGAAGATCTCCTGGAGAAGGAAATCGCAACCCACTGCAGTGTTCTTGCCTGGGAAACCCCATAGACAAAGGAGTCTGGCAGGCTACAGCCCTTGGGTTTGCAGAATCAGACATGACTGAATAACAGCAAAGCCTTGCGTGCATAGCACCTCAACCCACGCACAGTGGTGGGAATCATTGATTGTTCTAACTGGTGAGGAGGCTACAAGAAATCTGGTGAAGCTCCAGATAATAGCCACTGATAGATACTATAATTAAACATGTAACTTTAAGTATGTTGGGATCTCCAATGGGCACTAATGTTTTAAAATTTAATTGCTTACCCTTCATTTAACAAATATTCCACCTTCTATACTCTGGGTTCTTGGGATCCCTCACGGAGATTCCAGCACCTGTGCCCTCCTGAAGCATCCCTTCTTGAACTCCTTAGTTGCGGGATTAGAGTCAGATAACTCACTGTGTTCAGCCCCTCCGGCTTATGGTCTTTGTCAAATACATGGCCTTCTCAATTGGTCTGGCTGGCTCCGTCCTGATGAGCCTCGTGAGACTCCAGCCCAGGCCTGGCCTTCACTTCAGTTGGCAGAACCCAGCCCTGGGCAAAGGTCGGGGGTTCGTTATGTGAGGCAAGGGGTTGTGTGCTCTAATCTTTTCTGGTACCAGGTTGTGTGTGTGTGTGATTGGGAGGGAGGAAGATAGAGAAGATGTAATTGATTTGGGGAGGATTTGGGGAAGGTTTATATAGGAAAGCAGCAAGATCAAGAACCTACTGCCAAGCGGTGACCAAGAAACGTTCACCATATTCCTCCTCCAAACCCACACTGTTTGCCAAATCTTAACCAAATTAGCATAGTGCGGTCTGCTTCCATACATGACTGAGTGAATAAGGAAATTTCAACGTCTTTGCCATAAAGCCTGGAGGAAACCATACGAAAATCCAGCCTCTGTTTCAGGAGTGTCTGCCGGACTATTGGTTAGTATTTCCCTTCTTGTTCACTTTGCTTAAAAGGGTGAGAGTCAAGTCTCTTTAAAAAAAAAAAAACAAAAAAACACAGTTGCTTTTGCACTTGACTTAATCAGTTTCTTTTCTTCTCCTCCCACCTCACTCTTCCCTCTTCTGGCTTTATTCCTCCCTCCCTCCTTGCCCTCCTCTTCCACTCTTCTCCTCCTACTCCTACCCTGAATGAAACTTCTTTCTCCTGTCCAGCAGCCTTTAAAATATTCCAGTTAGGCAAAACCTCAGACTGCCTCCCTCCCTGGCCAATGACCATTATAATATAATTTAGGTCTCTGGAGTTCATTCTGTGAATGAAAGGCTAGTTTTCCACGTGTTTAAGAAGCTGATACATTTTGAGAAAGTCGACAGAAATAATTAATTGGCACTCAGGAGACATTTCGGGGTTATAATTGTGGTTCATGTTTTACATTTCAGCAGTCAGTTTATATTTCAGAGGAGTGTCATGAAGAAGTGCCACCACAATTGCAAATTTATTTTGCATTTTCTTCCAGGTTTTCTAAAGTCTTAGGCATGGTCAACATGTTAAAGAAAAGGAAACTAAGACTTGGGTTTCTTGTACTGCTGGCTGTACCCTTTGGCTGGTTTGCTTTGATGTCTCAGGTTCCTACCTGCATGCCTGATTAGGGCTGTCCCGTCATGCCATGGACTTCCCTTGTGGCTCAGACGGTAAAGAATCTGCCTGCAATGCAGGAGACCTGGGTTCGATCCCTGGGTCAGGAAGATCTGCTGGAGAAGGGAATGGCTACCAACTCTAGTATTCTTGCCTGGGGAATCCCCTGGACAAAGGAGCCTGGAGGGGTCACAAAGGGTCCAATAGGGTCACAGAGTCAGACACGAATGAGTAACTAACACACACATGCATCGTGCCTTATGCGATGGGAAATGCCACTTATTTTATCTCATTGAAAAGCATTCAGCTGAACTTTCAACGGAAGGATATGCTCCTACCCCCTTAAAAACATCTATTTTAAAGTCCAGGGGAATCTATTCATTTATGTAATGATTCATTTCAAGCTGAGTGTGTTAGGTATTGCAAGATAGGATGATATTATATGTGACAGCACCTGTGAGCCTGAGGGTAAACTGACTTTTTGCTCCTTGAAAATAGAGCAACATATCGAAGACAAGGTGAAATACTGAAAAGCCCACTGGACTGGGGATGAGAGGCCTGGGTGCTGCTCCCAGCTCGGCCATGAGCAGCAGTGGGGTCTTTACTCGTCACTTAATCCCTTTGGGCTTTGCTTACCTCGTCTGTGAAGTGAGACCTTTACAGTAGCACGTTCCTTAGGGCCCTATTCCGCCCCTAAGCTCTATGATTGTGAGTCCATCTCCCCAGTGGTCCTCCCAGCCCCCACCATCACTAAGGTTAGGCTTCCAGACTTTTTTTTTTTCTAGAGAAACTAGTAAGCCCATTTCCTTAAATGAAGTTGTAGTTTAAAGAATATAATCTAGTGAGCATGGGGAATAATTTCCAAAGAAAAAAAGGAATTGTGCTTTGTGCTCTAGCCTGTGCCAACGGTGAAAGGGGAGCAGGAAACCCCCTGCACCCAACTTCCTTCTTTGTCTCTTGACTTTTTCTGCTTGTCCCTCCTGTAGAAGTAGAGAGGAGATTGGCCGCGGATTCTGAGGGGACTAAGGGAAGACACTGATGGGGAAGACTGACCTGTGAGGTCTGCCTCCTTCCAGAGGAGCAGTGAAGCCTTTCCTCTGGCATAAGCAGCCAGCCGTTCAGGTCGATGTTGGGCAGAATTTTGAGTAACTATGACCTTCTGTGCCTTTGTGAAATTCTCTCGCACTTATATCCACCATCCTCAGGTGATATTCTGGCTGCCCAAAGGTCAGCCCCAGGCCCATCCCCTAACCTCCAAAGTACCCTCTGCTCTCTTTCACCCAAACTAACTCCTATAGCAGAGTGATAAATAGACGAGGGGAAAGTCTGTGTCTTGCCCTGCTGCTGCTGCTGCTGAGTCACTTCAGTCGTGTCCGACTCTGTGCGACCCCATAGACGGCAGCCCACCAGGCTCCCCCGTCCCTGGGATTCTCCAGGCAAGAACACTGGAGTGGGTTGCCATTTCCTTCTCCAATGCATGAAAGTGAAAAGTGAAAGTGAAGTCGTTCAGTCATGTCCTACTCTTAGCGACCCCATGGACTGCAGCCTACCAGGCTCCTCCGTCCATGGGATTTTCCAGGCAAGAGTGCTGGAGTGGGGTGCCATTGCCTTCTCCGGTGTTTTGCCCTGAGGAAACTTATAACAACACAGGCACTGAGAACTCATTCATTCCACAAACAAGGGTTTGTTACCTTGTGACTTCTGTGTCAGGGCACATTTTATAGTAGAGGGATGAAAGGTTAAGTCTCAGGAGAATGTGGAAGGCTTCTTGGAGACAGTGATATTGGAGCATGATTTTGAGGAATAGATAAATTTGGGGTTTGTCCAGCAGCAGCCTTGAAGGTAAAGGCAGAGAGCCAGTGACAGCAGCTGTTTTAAGTCTAAAGAAGAGTGGCAGGCATTGAGGGAGGAGGCATTACCTTCCAGAGAGAATTCTGAGGTAGAATCACCTCGTTATGATGACAAGTTACACGTGGTTTATATGAAGTAACCAAGTTATCTCTTGATAGTTCAGCTAATGTGGGAGCCATAACTTCATTAAGCAAGTTAGAAAACGTATGAGATGAAGCCATTTGTTTGTTAGTTGGGAAACTGGGGGCAGGTAGGAGATGCTGAGTTCATTCAGTTTGGACAGGGCTGATTTCAGAGGCTTACGGGCATCCCAGTGACTATTTCCCTTTGTCTAGGGCACCTGCCTTCTGGTTCAACATTTACACGATGCTCTGTGTAAACTGCCATGGTGGGATTCCCTATAGCTTTTCTTCCCCATTTGGAAGTGAAGTTTTGACTGATAAGATGATCACAAGTGGTTAAAAGTGAAAAATTCATTTGAATCACTTTTCAGTTTGATGGGAAGATGAATGTTTTATTACTGCTCTCCAGGATATGAAATAACTGATTTCTCTCAGACAGACTGCGATGGAAAGTGTTTTAGCGTCTCTTACTTTGACTTCTTGATAAGAGGACGGTCTTCTTGAATTAACAGCCGTTTAGACTTTGGCTCAGCCTGCTTGTTTCAGCTTCATTCACTAGCCAACTGATTTAGGAGAAACATGACCGGATCATTGAGTTAAGTTTCCTTAGTCACGCTGTGGTGATCCCATGGGGTGGTAAACATAAGGCTCTTGGAAAATGAACATTCCACTCAGGGGTGCTGAAAACAAGCTCTCCTGAGCCCAGATGTTAGATTTACAAGGGCATGTTACAAAGATAGCCTGTCCTCCCTTCCATGAGACCTTTTCCTCCATAAATACATGCGCCTTGTCCTTACCTTCTCCCGACTCTATTCTTTCCTAGATTTTGACCTTGATTTTGATTTATCTTTTCATTGACAGTCTTTTAATTTCCTGTCTGATATGAGGTTAAAATGAGAAGCAAGGCCAGCAAACTAATTTAAATGGGATCTCTCCGGCTTTCTCTGGAATCAACTGATCAACTCATGTCCAGATTGATGTCTTCAAACAAGAAATTGCATCAGTTGACCCAGAGATGATTAGATTCTAGGCGCCCAACTTACACTGGCCAACCTCATGAGATGAATGCCAATCCATTTGTTTGTTTTTCATGTCAGCTGTGAAGCAATTAAATTTCAGCTTGTTATTGTATTAATTTTCCAGAGAAAACCCAGAAAACAAGACAAGAATCAGCAGGTCATTTGGCAATTGTAGAGTTAGAATGGAGAGAACTTGGTGCTCTCAAGGGAGAGCATCAGCAGGCTCTGAAAGGAAGATTCTTGTACCTGTCTCTGTATTGGAACATTCTTGTTGGTCCTAAGTAGTTGGGTGAGACAAAGCAATAAATTATTTACTATTTTTTTCAGGGCTCTTCATCAATTATTAATTGATTAGACTGGATTGTCTCTAAAGCTCCTTCTGCCTCCAAAATTCTGTGCTCTTGTAAAAATCTCCTCTCCTTCTGGCTGTGTTTATGTCATGGCTTGATAGTTGTCTTCAAACATGTCTTGAAACATTGTCTTTCGTGACTAATGTTTAGGATGTCACCTCAGGCTCTAAAATAGACTTTTAAAGACTGTGTTTGTTTTCTATTGCTTCTAAAACAAATTACCATAAATTGAGTGACTTTATAAAAAGCCATTTGTTAGCTCACAGTTCTGTAAGTGAGAAGTCTGGACACAGGCTGGTGCAACTGGATTCTCGCCTCAGAGTTCACAAGGCTGAAATCAGCTGTCATTAGGGCTGCATTACCTTTGGGAGGTCCTAGGCATGAATTTGCTTCCAGGTTCATACACATTGTTGACCAAATTCAGTTCGTGGCCATTGCAGGACTGTCGTCCCCCTTTCCTTGCTGATTGCCAGCTAGGAGACCATTTTTGCTCCTCGAGTCTGCCTGCATTGCATCTCATGCCATATGGCCCCTCTAGTAACAGGAGGGCAAGTCCCTCTCAAGCTTCTAACCTCTCTGACTTCCCCTTCTGCCACATCTCACTGGCTAACTTCCTTTCCTGGTCTTACAGACTAATGTGATTAAATGTAAATCACCCAGAAAATCCAGAATAGTCTCCCTATTTTAAAGTCAGTTGATTTGTAACCTTAATAACATCTGTGAAGTCCCACCAGTGCAGTACCTAGATTAATAGTGGAATAACCAGAGATAATTGTCTTTGGGTGACCAGGGGACCTCTTTAGCATTCTACCTATCCAGTCTCATCAGCAACACTTTGAAATCATGTTATATCATTATTGGTGTGATCAAATATCTGTGGATGACTGGTCTCATCTGTTTACACATGTTCTTTCTTTTGCAGTTTCATTGGTTAATATTTTCTGACCCTACTTTTCATATTTCAGCATTTAAACCCCTTGGTTATGTGTTATTTTTAAAAATTATGTTTATTGGTCAGCTGAATGGGGGAGAATAATGTTTTACTCTCCCCCTCCCCCTCCCCATCACCCCTGAAGCAGCACCCATAGAGGCTGCTTGGAACAGCTGGACTCTATTTTCACAGACTTCAAAATCATAGCACGTTTGACTTGCAGTAGGTCATTGATTTTCAGTTTGCTCATGCGTGCTCAGTTGTATCTGATTCTTTGCAACCCCATGGACTGTAGCCCACCAGACTCCCCTGTTCATGGAATTTTTCAGGCAAAATTACTGAAGTGAGTTGCCATTTCCTACTCCAGGGAATCTCTCCCACCCAGGGATCAAGCCCACATCTCCTGCATCGGCAGGTGAATTCTTTACCACTGTGTCACCTGGGAAGCCAAATTTCCCATTTACCTTTGATACTATGGTAAAGCCAGGGAATTTGTTTGTAAGGTCTAATATACAATCAAGGCTAAGAACTATTGATATGCTCCCAACATGCTCTTTTGGAAATAAAAAGGCTAAGGGTGTGAAATGATTTACTTAACGTCAAATACCTAGTGACAGATCTGTTGCTGGGTTATGGTTTAATTATTTGTAGAGTTCAGTGCTCAGTAATTATATGCAAAATGAGTGTTACAGTCTATAAAAGCCTGCTTCTCGCTTCAGTAGAAAAACTCTTTCTAGGACCTTAAGAAATTATTGGACCTTGCAAAATATGTTTAAAAGTCTCTTCTCAGCAGTTTGGTCTACACAGATACATCCTGCAGTAGCCAGGGGCTGGGCACATGGACTTCCCCAGTCTCAGAGTCTCAGAACTGCACCATCCAGTGTAGTGGCCACTCACTGCCTGCGGCTCTTAAGCACTTTTAATGTGACTGGTGCCAGTTGCCATGTGCTGTGAGTGTGAAATATACACCAGATTCAAAGATTCAGTGTGGGAAAAGAAAAGTGCATAAAATATCTCAATACTTTTCCTATTTACTACATGATGAAGAGATGATATTTTTGATATATTGGGTTAATTAGGATACATAATTAAAACTTATCTATTTCTTACTCTTAATGTGGTTATGAGGAAATTTAAAATTACACAGATGGCAGGCATTTGTGGCTGGCATTATATTTCGGTGACAAGGTGCTCTCTTGGAGAGCATTTTCTACTAAAGCTATTAACAATGGACGGTCCACGTCAAGCTATTACACCTTCCATGATCTGAAGAGTGAAATGGTGTATTGTAAAGTTCCTGGCAATGAGACGTGACATTGATCTTCCCTGTGTTTGCCATCTATCTGGCAGCCAGTCAGTCTGGCCAAATAGACTTCTTTCTATTTATAATATAGGCTCCAAAGGGGCGGGTGATGATGCCCTCATGTCATGGAAAGGGCACACCGCATAGCTCTTAAGTAATGTACCTAAAAGTAGACCAGGTGCTCTCGGAATCTCTGAGACATAGAGATGAATATCCTTCTCCTAAAGAAACTACGTCAGCACTTATGAGTTATCACCGTCCTTGACAGGCCCTCAGTACTGGAAATAGTATAGTGCCTGTCCCTGTCCATGATTTAAATCTGGACTTTGCTCTCTTTCTCTTGCTTTCTGAAGTATGCCCTGCCTTACTGGTATCCTACTTGTGTGTTTAGTCAGCCTGGCTTAGCATTTTCAAAGAAGCATGAAAGGCAATGGCAGGCCTTGGAGAAGGTTCCAATCCATACCTGGAAGTATTCCATCTGAGTTTAGGGATTCCCTTCATTTCCAAAGCACCTCTAAACTTTTGTTTGCCCTATTTTAAAATGAAGATCTTTTGCAAGGAATGAATGAAATAATAAGGCACTTGGCACATTTATTCACTGGCAGATTTTGGAAGGGCATCTCCTCTGTGGGGTCCAGGGCTAGTTGTTGGGGATAAAAGCATGAGTGAGACACAACTGTGGCCTCCAGGTTGCTCGCAGCTGGAGGACAAGAAAGACGAGGAGCCTGGCAGCTTCAGGACAGGAGGAACCCTCTGCACCTGCAGCTGTTTATTACTTTGCACAGCACGGGGTTTGGTGCAGCACAGAGGCCTGGTGTGGTGTGTAGGTGAGGGGACAGGCCCCGCAGTGATGAACTTACTGCCCGAGCCATCACATGGGGCGACGTTGGGCTGCATCCAGGGCACAGGATTGCTGACTCCTTTTCTAGCTATGCATTTCCCAGGAGAGCATATTGCCTCACTCTTGGTTTCCCAACTTGTTTACCCTGAAACAACAACTTCACTATTTTGGACTTGATAAAAGAAAAAAAGAGTTTCTCCCAACATTTGCTCTATATGTGACCCAGGTATGTGAGTGAGTCCTTGAATACTCTGAGTTATGGTCAAAATCATTGTCAAATTATATCTCATCAAGATACTGAATCTTTTTTGTTATTTGAAGACTTCATCCTATTAGATCTTCAATAACTTATCTATTTCCAATAAATTAGGTAAAACAAAGTCTGTATTTCCATCTGAGAGTCTTGGAAGAAACTTCAGCATCTTCAACTTTGTTTAAAGTACATTCTCCATGTTCTGTGTGATCTGTCACAGTAATAAAAATTAGATTTTTTGGGGGGTGAAAAAAAGCCACTCATGGAAAGAGAGAAACCAGAAATCCAGTAAGAGGTTTGCTTTCTCAAATTCTATTTAGGAGAAAAAATGACTTTGTAGGTGCAATACTGTAAGATATACAAAGAAATGGAACATACTATTCAAATAAGCACCCACCTATGTGACTGATTTTCTCTTCCATGTAAGAGTTACACCTGCCTTGTGCTCAGTGAATGCACCAAGTGTATCAGGCTGGGTGAGTTTGACAGTCATCCATCAGTCTAGCTATTGTGTTGAGGGGTTTCAAAGTGCTACCAGGTCCTGCTGAATTCAAACAGGATGTCCCATGTGCCAAAAAAGGTCCACTCCCAACAGAATGCCCATGCTTACTAGGAAAGGGGAAGCACCAAGCCTTTGGTCTTGAAATGGCCCTTATTCTTTCACTCCTCCAGAAAGAAAAGGGTGGAAGCCTAGGTTCCTGTAACCCAGTTACCTTCTCTGTGTTCTCACAGGAAGATTCCTGGCTTTAAACCAAGCATCTTATTATTAGAATTCATCTACCCAGTTTTCAACTGTAAAAATCCATCACTCATGAAACAGATGACCTGGATCCAGTAAACAGCAGCATATAATATTCTTACAGTAGATGAGATTGTGATTAAGGGGAAAATCAACCTCTGGATTCCCAAACTTTTTATTCTGATTACTTCTCCCACCTTCATGTATGTATGCAGTTTGCCTGCACACCTAAGCAGAAGTGAGCAGCATTCCTGCTTATCCTAGGAGATGCACACATTACATTATGTTGATCCTTCCTCTTCCCTGGACATTTGTGTGATTTAAGTGCTTGATTGAAGAGGGGAGTCTCACCTATTGTGCGGATGGCATTACCACATCCTAGGCTTCCATTCCAAGACCGACAGTGAGGGCTCCTCTCCCAACCCTATGGAAACATAAAATGGTCTGCTTAATCACTAGTATCAGAAAGTGTAATAAATGGTAAGTGTTGATACACACAGAATAAACTGAGGTTTGGTAAAGCAAGGATTTGAACCTCATTCCAGAACTTGTGCACTGACGCCCTAAGCTCACCCTCTGTAGTTGAAGGGCAAGGATAGCATCCATGATAGAGTTTGACAGTAATGTCTATAGCCCTGGAAAAGTACCAATGATTATTAATGACATATGGCCATCTGACTTGGAACGGGTGGCATCAGATGAACCCAAGTGTCCAGGGCTCACTCAGTAGCACTGTCTTCTACCTGCTGTGTCCACGTCAGCAGATCGTTTAATCTTTGTACCTGTTACCTCACCTGGAGTCCAGAGAGCATCATTTACTTTCCCAGCTGGTGGTGTGCTGGGTCCAGCTTATACCAACTTGTGAATCTACATTTAGTGATGTCAGTGATTCAATGAATCCAAGTTAAGTGACTTGGTAGCTTAAAATCAGTCTTAGTAGAGGTATTTATATCACAGAGATTGGCAAATGCTACAAACTGTGGCCCTTTTAAAGTTATTACTCCAGAGAGACAATTGTTAGATGTTAGTACACCACTGACTATGAGTCAAAGAGAGATACACTGTGAATTGTCATACTTCTAAAGGTAAACAAAGGCATACTAGGTACCCTAAAAAGCTTCCATAAATATAATCATACCTAAGTCTTCAGTAAATGTCTTGTCCTATCATTACACATTTCGGAAGACCGAAGGCAATGGCTCAGTCATGTCCAACTCTGTGGGACTCCATGGACTATACACAGTCTGTGGAATTCTCCAAGCCAGAATGCTGGAATGGGTAGCCTTTCCCTTCTCCATGGGACTTCCTGGTGGCTCAGATGCTAAAGCGTCTGCCTACAATGTGGGAGACCTGGGTTCGATCCCTGAGTCGGGAAGATCCCCTGGAGAAGGAAATGGCAACCCACTCCAGTATCCTTGCCTGGAAAATCCCATGGACAGAGGAACCTGGCAGGCTGCCGTCCATGGGGTCGCGAAGAGTCGGAAACGACTGAGCGACTTCACTTTCACTTTTATGCATTCTAGAAGGAAATGGCAACCCATTCCAGTGTTCTTGCCTGGAGAATCCCAGGGACGGAGGAGCCTTGTAGGCTGCCATCTATGGGGTTGCACAGAGTTGGACATGACTGAAGCGACTTAGCAGCAGCAGCTAAAGACTTAATCATTGTGATATCATATGTCACTATACATATATAATTTTATTTTCTGTATTGTTTTTGTCATGAAAGCAGATATGCTCCTGTAACAGGCTAATGTTTCTGAATGCAGGTACAGACATACAAGCCATAAAGTGTGTATATCAATATTGTCAAATAGGAATATAAAATATAATTCAAGCTACATATGTAATTTAACTAATTCTCTATAGTTAAATTATTTTAAATGGGGGATAGTAGTTTTAATATTTTATTCAACAGTCCAAAAATATGATTTTAACATGTAATCAACATAAACATTATTGAAATATTTTGTATCCTTTTGTACCAAACCTTCAAAGTCCCCGGAGAAGGCAATGGCAACCCACTCCAGAACTCTTGCATGGAAAATCCCATGGACGGAGGAGCCTGGTAGGCTGCAGTCCATGGGGTCGCGAAGAGTCGGACACGACTGAGCAACTTCACTTTCAATTTTCACTTTCATGCATTGGAGAAGGAAATGGCAACCCACTCCAGTGTTCTTGTCTGGAGAATCCCAGGGATGGAGGAGCCTGGTAGGCTACCGTCTATGGGGTTGTGTAGAGTCAGACATGACTGAAGCGACTTAGCAGCAGCAGCAGTTCAAAGTCCATGTATATTTTACACTTACAGGACATCTCAATTTAGATGCCAGCTTTTCATCTGAAATATACTTGATCTGCACTTAGATCTTATAAAATGTACTGTTGAAGAAGGTTTACCTACCCAACCTGTTCTGAATATATACTTAATCAAATTTAAGTATAATTAAACTTATTTAATTCTTCAGTTGTGTTAGCCACATTTGAAATATTCAGTGGTTGTGACTGGTAGTAACTAAATTAGCACAAGTGTTAATACCCACCATATATGCTCTATTTTTTTAATAAAAATGGAGACTTACTATATATACCACTTCCAAAGGATTTTTTTCCCCCACACCTTATCCATTTAAATCACTTTCCCATCTTGTATTCCCTACCAGATCCCTGAAGGGAGAGAAATTTCAGCAAGAGTAGTTATATCAATAATGTCTGTGAATTTTTTTTTCCCTCAATGATAGGAAGGAGATAAATTGACCTAAGGCATTTTGTGTCTGACAGATTTTCAAATGACCATCACCAAAAAGTAGATAATAACATGAACTCTAGGTGCAAAGTGTTCAAATAAATGCCTGAAGCTAATTAGAATGGATTATTTCAAATACCCTTTTGGATGAACCTCTTCCTTTTTCAGTGCTGAGTTCTTAGAAAAGCTTCACCAGGAAATCAATGAGATTCAGTTTTGCAATATTTCGTTAGTAATCACACTAGCATCAGAAAGTACACATTATAGGTTATCTACCTGGAGTCTTGGTTTTGCAATATAAACAATTCTGCTACTGTTGGGGTTTTTTTTTAATCAACCCTCACTTTTTCCAGGGCTTCCCTGGTGGGTCCGATGGTAAAGAGTCTGCCTGTAGCACAGGAGACCCAGGTTTGATCCCTGGGTTGGGAAGATCCCCTGGAGAAGGAAATGGCAACCCACTGCAGTATTCTTGCCTGGATGGCAAGAGGGCATGGAGTCTGACAGACTGAAGCGACTTCACTCTCACTTTTCACTTTCATGCATTGGAGAAGGAAATGGCAACCCACTCCAGTGTTCTTGTCTGGAGAATCCCAGGGACAAGGGAGCCTGGTAGGCTGCCCTCTATGGGGTCGCACTGAGTCGGACACGACTGAAGTGACTTAGCAGCAGCAGCAGCAGTGCCTTGAATAATGCTAGCAGGTACTGGTGATTCAACAAATACTTGCTAATTTTAAATGAAAGAGAATTGAACCAATGGCTTCCTTTGCCTGGAGTTGGCTATAACATGTTGGGAAAAAATATTGTATTTAATCTCTGTCTCTTCTCGTGTGTTTATGGACTATTTTATAGCCAAGGAACAAAACTTATATCATTGGCCGCACTGTGATTTGGAGGCTTCCTCTGCTAGGCAGTTTACAGAATTAAAACTCAGGCCAGCTGGATCACAGGGCTTTTCAACTGGCTCTCCCTTGAGGAAGGGGGAACAGGCAAAATGCCTCAGGCTCATTGAGCTCCAAATGGTGTGAGTTCCCTGATGCAAGAATAGCAGCTCCTTCTTCCCCTACCCCAGTGAAAATCATACCTTGTGGCTATAGCCAAAGAATGCATAAATATTAGAAACGTAGAGAGGGGTTTTCCCTAGGAAAATATTGTGAACTTCAAAAACCCTATAGACTAAGGTACAATTTCATAGATGGCCTCTGAACAATGCCTGCCTCTAGTTAGATTATTATATTAGGAAAGGGAAATAAAGGGATTTTCTCCTGCTCATATCTGGCACATCACTGATAGATTAAAGTACCAAACTTTGTGTTTTGGCGCGCTCTCCTCTTCCAGTGACATTTTATCTCCTTCAGGACCTAATGGAAGAGAATCCTCTCATCTAGAAGCTGCCACGCAGAGCTCTCACAGTTGAAGGGGGAAGCTTACAGTTGAATCAGCCCAGGCCAACTAACACTCTGTTCATATGAAGGCATTAGAGAGAGTTCACCAGTGGAGTGCAAAGGAGGGGAGTACACAGGGGACCACTTTCGCAGTCATCCCCACTGAGCCAGCAACGGTGGAAGGGGAGCATTCATCTCTAAGGAAACACTTAGCCCTTCCTGGAATCCAGCCACATTGCTGTCGCTTCTTCTCTGCTCCCACCGCTTGTTAGAGCCCTAGAGTTGAGGGGTCCCTATGCTCTGCTCTTGATGGCAGTGAACTACTCTCTGTGGGAGGACAGCTGCTCCAAATAACCTCCTATTCTGCTGTGGGGGTGTGCCAACAGGTTTCTGGTTCATTTTGCTTTGTGGATTCCAATTTGTTTCGTGAGATAGAATGTGGCCTGTTGGAGATGGATTTGGCTCCTAAAGGAATTGTTGTGATCATTAGTTCCTTACTTGGGGGAAGTGAAGTTCATTTGTAGGCAGCAGCTTTCAAAAGTTTTGGGGATGGGTGGAGGCCAACTATATTTCATCTGAAGCAAAATTCACTTGTCTCTAGCATCTGGCAAGACTCTTTGAGAAGTGTGGAGAGGTGACTTCCAAACCAGGGAAGCATCCTTCTGAGAAATGCGAACCTGTTGATATCCTTGTTTGGTCGCGGGGCATACAGGGCTGCCTCAGAATGGGATTCACTGTTAGGACCTGATGTCAAGAAAGCATGTGCCAGGGGAGGCTTCTTTAACCTGCCACACAGTGTGGTAAGGCATGGTGAGTGAACCTGGCACTAGATACAGAGTCCAGTTCTCAGAGCTTTTCTTCCTTAAAAAAAGACTTTTGAAATAAAATTTTAAAGGAAGTACCCAGCTATCAAGAGGGTAACATTTTCAACCTATAACATGTTTGTTTTTAGCCTCTTTATGTATTCCCATAAGCCTATTTATGTATTCCCATAAAATCTTATGGGAAAACCCAAACAAACTTCTTGGCCAAACTAATATTTCTGCTGGAGACCTCAAATTATGAATATAATGGCCTGTTCATCTGGGAGTTAAAGATCTTGGGAGAGAGGCTCAGAGAAAGTAGATGAGGATGATGCAAAGCCATTAGCCCGTAGCCTTCCAGATTAAGACTTTAAAACACAGGTGTCATAACAACCCCAACTCACATTAGTGTGAACTCACTGTTGGCAAAGTGTGTTCCTCTATGATGTCACACTCAATCCTGTGAATGACCCTTAGGGCACTGTGTGAGGGCTGTTCTCATGCATGTGGGAACACAAGAGAGATTCCATTCACCTAGAGATGTTTTCTTAAATGTTTTAAGAACATAAAAAAATGATACAGAATTTTTAAAATGTGGCATCACCCACTGTCTAGAAATGAAAATGTAGAGCATCAGACATTTAATACCTATTCAGAATTACACAGCCGTTACCTGGATCAAAGCCTTCCATTACCCATGAAAACAATCATCCGTGTTCATCATTTCAATTTGATTAGGGGTAATAGAAGGACTATTCCATTGTTGTCAAGAATGTAATAAAAATAAGTCCAATAAAGGCACTGATGGAGCTCCCAGTATGATGATCATATCTGCCTGAATAACTTGTAAAGAGCTGTAATTTTATGGAAATATTGCAGCTAAGATTTAAAGTACTTGGCATTAGTCGTCAGATGTAGCAACAGCTCTCCAAAGGGCAGTCTGCTGAGTTCATTTTAAGGCAGCCTAAACTTGTCTCTTTAGAGATCAAGGAGGTGGACATCTGGTTTATTTATTACAAAGAAGCTTCATTTCCTCCAGGTAAAGGTGTGTGCTAGCTGAGGCATGTTGACCTGTTCCCCCCATTCATCACACTGAAGGGTCCAAGGTGTGGCCAGGCTTGGGATTCCAAAGTTAGCCCGCAAACTGACCCTTCCTAGAGTCTGAGGTGCTCACATTCCTGGGCTTTTCAGAGACCTCATTCCTTCTGCACTAAAACCCACAAGGACACCAGGTGTCCCAGGGGAGGCCACTTGGAAGCACTGGTGTTTTTTTCCTTTCCACTTCCCACCTTCTCCCTGCAGCCTTCTAGTTAAGCTTCCTTCCTATGGCTCATTAGCACAGTGTTTTGAGTGTTAATTGAGCTCTTTTGTTCACTGGGAAACACGTTGGAGAAGTTTTACTTTGCCTGAAGTGGGTTGTTTTGTTTTTCCTTTTTTGGCCTGTCCAGCCCAAGGTCCCTTGCTTATCGATACAGCTGAGGAGTTCCTATTTCCAGATCAAATTAAAGTGAACCATGCTGGCCCTGTCATGAAAGCAATGCATGGGTGTCATTTGTTGTGAGGTCATTCTATGGCTGTTGGCAAGAATGTGGAAATCTAGTGTCTATGTTATTTCTCAAGGCGAGCACCCACCGAAAGTAGAATGTATTACAACCTGCTGTTTGTTCTCATGAAAAGTATGACAACCTGAGACTCTAGGGCAGCGAAAGACTTATGAAGATTCCTTCTAGAGCTGATGTGCATGTCAACTCATTCCTGATTCAGCCAGTATTTAAACAATTTTTGATGAACATGGTCTGCTTTTAATTGCTTGGCTTAATTTTATTTTTCTTTGTATGATTGCAGGTCCTACAGGTATGGATCTCTGGCAACTGCTGTTGACCTTGGCAGTGGCAGGCTCCAGTGATGCTTTTTCTGGGAGTGAAGGTGAGTTCTGCTTTTCTATTCCCATTCACAGTGTTTTGAAACCACTCTGAACTTTATTTGTGAAATCTAAGTTCTTTGGGTGATGTAATTAAAAGAGGTAAGTTTTAAGTAGCAGTAAATAGAAAACCTGTTGTAGGTTTAAAATTGCAAACTATGAGGACACCTCTGGGGATGTTTTAGGAGGAACACAGTAGTCCGCCTTGGCAGCTGATGTTTCTTCATCAAAAATAAATGCTGCAAATCATGCTGACAACATTTCTAGTGAAGGCACGCCAGGCCTCTTGGTCTCAGGCTCTGGGAGAAAGATTGAAATTGCACCGAAGGGTTATTCACCAACTGATCACTCAGTTCATCTGTGACTAAGGTTACCAAAGCCTGTTTTTCCAGAGTTTAGATGTAAGGCCTTTTAATCATATTCTCTGAGAGTGGAAATTTCAGATTTCAAATAAAGTTCACCTCTCACTCACTGGATGGTTACTGTTTGGCTAAGTTTGAAGGAAGAAACAGCTGAAGTAGTTGAATGATTATGCTCAGATGTCACAAATTTCCTTGGCCATCTCTGTAATTCTCCCTTCTTCTTTATACTCTCTTCCTATTGGAAAACTTGTCATATATTCAAACTTAGAACTCAAACAGTAATAACTGGAATAGGCGAGTAATGAAAGGGAATGAAAAGGATTTTTCTGCCCTGAAAGAAAACCATGCTCATAATGAAGTGGGAGACTTTTTAAAATATCATCTTGAGTACTTGATATTTTTTTTCTTGCCTGAGCTTCAACAAAGGAAAGGAATCATTTGTTTCTCCTATTTTATGATACAACAGTCACTTGTGGCTCTAAGAGCGGCCAGCTCCCCTACTTACCAGGCAACTCATGTTGGAAAACACAGTTTAGCGACAGAAGTAGTGCCTTCAAATGTCCTCCCTGACCTTCGAGCCAAAAATAAATCCCTAGTAGTGAGCTACTGAGGGCAACCAGAGAAACTAAGAAAACAAGAAGGGTAAAATGTTATTTTATCTCCTTAAACAATTTAAAAATATTTATAGAACAGAAGTCACAATTGTTTGAAATATTTTGGGGTCTCTCTGGTGTTATAATGTCAACATTATGCAAGTCGAACATGGAGGGAATCACAGGCTCCGTGTCAGCAGCTTTTCCCATGGCTGGTTTTAGACCCTGGTTCTGAGCCAAAGATTTACAGCTGAGATCCTGTGCCATTCCAAAGTCATGGTGGTTTAATCTCTACTTTCTTCATTAAGGTGACTTTCACTCTACCAGGCTAGGCTTGAGGAATTTAAAAGACTTGTGAAATGAAAAGTATGGCAAAGGAACTCTAAAGTAAGTTTAAAATGTATGCCTGGCTAAAAAGACTAGAACTCAAATTACATTTTTGACCTAGAGAGTCTGCAAAGAGCATATATTTCAACTGCTGTGACATTTTAGTAAAACTTTAACTTCGTGGAGGAAACAAAACAATTAGCTGCTTTTATGTTTGCTTTTTTTTTTTTTTTTGCTTTTTGGGAGTTTTTTTGTTTGTGGGGAGCACAGAATAAGAAAATGCAAAGTTTATAGTAAATACAAATTGTATATTCAACCATACTTACAGTTTAACAGTACTTGCACATACTAAGTAATTTAGCAAAGGGAAAAAAATGTTATTTTTTTTTTTTTCTTAGCGGGCTAACCAAAATTCCTTTGGAATATGTGGCTAGTCCAGAATTCTTAGCTTAAAATGGCTGAGGATTGTTAAGGACAGGGTATGATGTTTATATAAGAAGATGCAGATGAGCCTGTTTGAACATGAGCGAGTGTGTGTGGGTGTGTGGTGCTTGCCAGCTCTGGCCATTTATCTGATGGGTTCAGCCAGAGTGATCTCCTGACATGACATGAATTGAATCTCAGATGACCTTCATGGGCCATGTGTTTTTTTTTTTTTTCCCTGCCACTTTATTTTTTCTCCCATTGTATAAGGCAGACTAAAAATGTAAGAGAGGACTTTGAAAAAAAAAAAAAAAAGATGTTTCTTTAGTTTCACCAGCCATTCACTGAGTCTAATTTGGTCTGTGGAAGAGGTGGTGCTGCTGAGCAATCGATCTGGGAAGCGTCACCTGGAGAAGAGATGCCCAGAGCCTGGTAGAAGATGGCAGATCTGCATGCCCAGGGAAGATTGGCACTTGAAGCCTTGAGCAGGGCTTTTCTTGCTTGGGTAGATGAGCCATTAAAAATATACTGGCCCTGAGGGGATTTTTTTTATTACGTCTAATTGGCCTATCTGAAATTTAATGAGAACTAAGCTCGGAACAGTGCCACCATTGTATTAGCTACAGTGTTGGAATAGCTGCTTTCTCTGTCTTTCATCCTTAATACATGATTGACTGGGGGATTTTACAGTAACTAACGCCTGTGCTAGCGATGTGTTATATAAGTGAATATTGACACACTCCGGTCAATAATGTTTGGGCAACAAAAGTTGTATTACTAGGTCTCTGATCCATAAGCTGTTAATATTAGTCTTTATATATGGTCCTCAAGGCAGTATACCTACTCTTAGGGAGAATTTCTTTTTTTTTCCTGGATGTAGTTTATTTAACTTTTTAAATTAAAATATAATTTAAACTTATAGTTCATTTACAGTTCATTTAAAGTTCATTTATAGTTCATTTAAAGTTCACTTACAATATTACTTTCAGGGGTACAGCATAGTGACTTGGTATTTTCATAGATTATATTCCATTTAAAGTTATTGTAAAATTACAGCTGTAATTTCCCAGATGGTGCAATGTATTCTTGTGGCTTATCTATTTTATATATAGTAGTTTATACCTATTAATCCCATATCACTATGTTACCCCTTTTCTCTTCACTCTCTCTACTATTCACTACTAGTTCTGTGAGTCTGTTTCTATTTTGCTATATACATTTATTTGTTTTATTCTTTATATTTCACAAATAAGTGATATGATAGAGTATTTGTCTTTCTCTAACTTTTTTCAGTAAGTATAATACCCTCCATGGCCATCCACATTATTGCAAATGGCAGAATTCCATTCTTTTTTATGGCTGAGTAATAGTCCATTGTATATTAACACATATATACATCTTGTTTTATCCATTTGTTGATAGATATTTGGGTTGCTTCCATGTCTTGGCTATTGTAAATAATGCTGCTGTGAACATCAGGGCACCTCTGTCTTTTCAAATAAGTGTTTTCATTTTTTCCAGATGTATACCCAGGAATGGAATTGATGGATCACATGGTACTTCTATTTTTAGTGTTTTGAAGAAGTACCATACTGTTTCCATAGTGGCTGCCGCAATTTACATTCCCACCAATTATGTAAGAGGGTTCTCAGGGAGAATTTCTTATTCCAAAATCAGAAATGAGCAACAATGCCCCATTTTCAGAGAGCTTCACAGGGTTGAACTGTCAACTGGTTGCCTTAAAACTGCTGCTCCTGTGATAGTGATTTTAATGAGAAATGCGCATAAAGCTGTTATGGATATAAACATACTGCTGAGGAGCACCTGTTTTATGTTGTTGTACCTCTGCTCTTTCTGTTGGTCCACAATTGAGCATCCTCTTGACCTCAGCAACCTCAAGTGAGAGCAGGCAAGCCCTGCCGTGAAGAAGTTCAGTCTAGCTGGGATGTGAGGAACCTGTAGGTATTAATGAGAGACAATAGGTTTAAGGTCTAGATTATGTGATTAATACAAATGACCAAGATGTTCTGGAAAAGAATAGATCAAGGTGGCTTGAACAGTTTAATTCAACAAATTCAATGTACGGATATTTCTTCAGAGCTTCTCATTTTTAAAGACTGAACTCAGGGCTATGAGGAAGATAGTGATTCTTCCTTCAAGGAATTTATCATGACTTAAGAGATCAAGCATATCCATAGAGAATGACTGTATGAGGGGGTTATGTACGGAAACAGTGGCCTGAAATGCTGTCTTTAAGAGGAGTGAAGAGAGGAGTGTCATGTCAAGCTGTGGTGAAGTAGAGGGGACTTCCCAGAGGATGGTGGTGTTATTTCAGCAGAAATGAGAATACTGGGTTAAGATTTGAAAGGCTAAGAAGAGCAGGCATGGCTGCAGAAGTAGCATGTACGGTGATGGAACAGCAAAAAAAAGTGCTCAGGTGTAGATAGGCGGCAGACGTGGAGAGCAAGTCATCTGGTTGCTGGGCTTACACTACATGCAGGGCGCTGTGCTAGGCAGTGAGTGGTTCTGTTTCACACACAGCATCCAACAGATGTTTTTTCAGCACTTCCTTTGTGGAAGACGTATAATTAATTTGGTCAGAGTATACGCTATGTGAACACCGTGTTTGTAATTATTCCCTTTCTATGTAAACTTAGGTTGATGAATTCAAGATAAATTATAGAAGGTCTAGAGATGGCAAAAGCTTCATGGAAAAGGCAAGGCTTGTTGGGCTGGGAAGATGGGTAGTATTGGAGAGGCTTACACCATATCCAGCAAGTCATAGTTCTTATATTTTAGGCCAGGTGAAAGTGTTCATGGTGGTGCATTTTGTGTGTGTGTGTGTGTGTGTGTGTGTGTGTAGTATTTATATATAGCATATATAGGGAATTCCCTGATGGTTCAGTGGTTAGGATTCGTCACTTTCACTGCCGGGGCCCAGGTTCTTCAATCCCTAGTGGGGAAACTAAATCCCATAAGTCATCCCATTTTGGCAACTTGGCCAAAACAAATATACATACATACGTGTGTGTGTGTGTGTGTGTGGTGTGTGTAGGGCATGGTTTGCAGACAAAGCACATCATTAGTATCTTATAACTCTAAATATCATTCCATTAAAAAACTTACACTAGGAGTGAGAGACCATGTCCCAAAGGAACCAAGATCCCTCAAATAATATTTTCTATCTTTGAACGTTTTTTGTAAACTTATGCAAACATACACAGCACTTTTGTGAAAGAAAAGATGCCTCTGGTCTAATTGCTGACAATAGGAAATAATGACCCAGTGGCAAGAGCATTCTTTTTTTTTTTTTTAATAAACCTTTCTCTTTCATGCCCACTTTCAGGCAAAGCCCCACAGAGCCCTGGGAGCTTCAGGTCATGCAGGATTTATTTCATCCATGTATTAGAGTCACGGCTGTAGTGGGTAAACAGTAAAAGGTGTACCTGTTAAAAATGTTTTCAAGATGGAGCAGTTCAAGGGTTTCCTTAAATTCACCCTAGAAGTTAGCGAGAAAGCCATGGCGCTTGAGATTCATGCTGTCTTTTACTTCAAGAGACAAGAAGTCTTAGTCTCTTCTGGTGCTGTGAACATCAGTAGCCCTATGTTACCTGGTCCTCTTGGTGTATCACAGATGGCTTAGCTGCTGGAGTTCAAGTCCTAGCAGTCCAGATGATGGAGCTTCCGGTCTCATCTACCTGGATGATGCCAATGGAAGACATGCAGAGACCTTTGTGGGTTATGAGGTCTTTCAGCAAGTTTTTATTGAATGTAAATTTGAATCTACTTATCTGCCTTTAAGGAGCTCATGGGCTATAGAAGACAGACAAGTAAACCTAATTTAACTGTGGTCCTCTGAGGTTATTAAAGAGATTTTAAAAATATATATGATTTTACTTGACTGTGCCAGGTATTACTTGTGGCATTAGGGATCTTCAGTCTTCATTGTGGCATGCAGTATCTTTAATTGCTGCATGCAAACTCTTACTTAAGACACGTGACATCTAGTTCCCTCACCAGGGGTCAAACCCAGGCCCCCTGTGTTGGGAGCATGGAGTCTTAGCTACTCAACCACCAGGAAAGTCCCTAAAGAGTTTTAAGCAGGGTAATACTACTATTATACTGTCATTTTGGAAACAATGACAATGTTTGTAGTAGTAGATTGAAAGTTACAATGGCCATAGTAGATTAAAAGTGAACTGGAGAGAGATGAATGTGGAGGAAGGTGGTTGTAATAGGTTAAGAGAGATGATGCAAAGGTGCCAGTGGTAGTTAAAAAGAAAAAAAAATAGATGGGTTACAGACAGATGTTGAGGAGCACTTGGAGTCCAGTTACGTGTGGGTTTTAGACTTGGGGACCTGGCAGAGCTTTCTTACCCCATCCATTTCAAAGTTTCTGCACCTTGAGTTCGTGTTACCAGCATCAGCAGTGAGTCACTTGTCAGTGAAGCCCTGAAATACAGCTCAGCCTATAAGAGTGAAGTGTTACTTGCACGGCACAGCTGCGTGGGGGGGGAACACTGAGACTGAAGACAACAGAGCATCTGAGCGAGCTGCCTGTTGGACCGTTAACAGAACCCCTCCTGCCTCTTCCCAGCCCGGGGCCCACGGCTGTCTCCTCCCCCTTGTGGTGTGTCTGGGATATGGCTTGGCCACTGAGCCCCGAGGGTCCACGGCAGGAACAAAGGCCTGAACTCCTGACTCCATGTCGTCTCTGCACATTCATGACTCAATCCCAAGACCTTAACATATCCCCAGATATTTGATCACCCCTGGCGTATGCACTTATCTCATGGAATGCATAAAAGACACTCAGGATGAGTCGAGGGCAGCACGGCTATGCACTGAGCAGAATCTGGGAGGTCGATGAGGCTTCCACAGTAGCTACGTGACTCACCCCTGTGAAGCATCTGACCGTGTGAGTGATGAGGTTTGTATCCTAGCTAATTAGTATTAAAAGGACTGGAACCACACAAGAGTAGTCTAAACCTTGAACGTTCAGGTCCCACATGCCAGTGTTGGACTATATGTCCAGCCTTCCACTTTAGATGCCAACATTACAGGACAAGAGCTTCTATGCATAGTGTGGACACACCACTTTGGTTCAGTAGCCCACACTCGGGCTCATGTTATGCGGGGTCAGGAATGTGGTGGACAGAATGTGTTTGCTGATGATGATGGCCACCAGCTCCCATTCACCCACACACCTGGTTTCCTGCCTTGAGCAGGGGCTCACCTAAGTTTAAGTGTGCAGAAGTCCACGCTGGCTTGGACTAGCCTGGCCAGACTCTCTCTGGCTGATGTCATCTGTCATAGCTAGGGGCCCACGTCTCTCTGTCACCCAGGTTTCCCTAGGAAACCCTCTTAGGAAGATCCTGTGGGAGCTGGTTTTCTTCTCACCCTGATTTTAAGTCATTGGATTACTTTCTCGGAGTTGGTTTAGTTCAGAGCCTTAACCTTAAACTCAGTGATAAAGAATTCTAGGCATTTCAGAGCCATCCACAAAAACATCTTTGGGGCCCATCCCCTGCTCCTCGGAACTGCCTGTTTATCTATAGTCATGTATGTCTATAACTTGGTCATTAGGCAGAGTCACCAGCAGCCACAGCCTAAGGGCCACCCTCAGTTTTCCCAAGCAGCAGGCACCGTGGTCCTGTTTTGGCTCTTCAAGAAATTCTCACATGCTGTCAACAGGGTCATCTCTCAAACCCAGAGCACAGCCCCTTCCTCATCTGTAGTTAGCAGCATCAAGGTGGCGATGATGTGTGGCATAAACACTGTCTGAAATCCGAGGCAGCCAATCACACAGAGAGGATTCCATGGTGCCCTGTCTCGCCAGCGCTGTGCAGACCAGGAGGCCCCAGGGTCTGGAATGCTACTTCAAACCTTAGCTGGAAATCAGTTTTCTCTGGTCTGTATTCCCCAAATCTGCCCAAAAATGAATCCGCTATGTTTTGTCAGATACATCTGTCAGGAATCTCTGTTTCTATATATGAAACAACTCACCAGCCTTAGGCTTTAACCTTAACTAATTACAGTGTCGGTGTTAACATCTCCACAGGAAGGTTGCAGGTGTTAGAGCATGGAGGAGTGTGTCCACACAGAGGGAATGTTTCAGCATCTTGTTCATTGTTTTTAGAAACTTCACCAAGACACAGGACAGAGGGATGGGCTTCTAGAAGGGCAGTCAGTGGCAGAGGATCAGGGGGTGGGAGAGATGACATTTGTTGCATGTCTCTTCTAAATGTATCTTCCCCTGATAGCTCAGATGGTAAAGAATCTGCCTGCAATGTGGGAGACCCGGGTTTGATCACTGGGTCAGGAAGATCCCCTGGAAAAGGAAATGGCAACCCACTCCAGTGTTCTTACCTGGAGAATTCCACGGACAGAGGAGCCTGGTGGGCTATAGTCCATGGGGTCGCAAAGAGTCAGACATGACTGAGTGACTAACACTTTCACTTTTCACTTTTAAATGAAGTTGTCATGACATCTGTGTTTTAAGTTGTGTGTCACATTAGGGATTGAGTTTGAAATATATGCAATTTGTTTTTAAAAGATTGACAAAATGACCACTGCAAACTCTGTGTAATAAATAGTTACAGGTTAAAACTTAGTAGACCTAAAGATTCATGAAGAGTGTTTTGTTCACCCCTGTTTCCCCATCCTGTAACATTCTGAGACATGGAGTACATCTTCATTTTCTTTTTCTTTTTTTTGATCTTCATTTTCTTTAAGGAAATCAACTTGTAAATCCTGACCTGGGACTTCCCTAGTCATTGTCCATAGTTGTCACTAATGCTCTGTTATACCCAGCTCTCACCAGGGCAGAGGCTGAATCTGGACCCCTTTTTAGTCAGAAGGGTCTGGAAATAGCTGTACAGCTGTAGAAACTGTTCTCCAGAAAGCCCCAAGCCTTCCTGTGCCTGACCCAAAGCCGTGATTTGTGGGCAGAAGAGTCATTTTCTTGCTCTGTACTTCAGATGCCTCTAGAGTCAGAACTTTGCCCAACCCAGCGATGCCTGGGCATCTGATGCCATGTCTAAGTCTTGCCAACCTTTTCCCAGGTGACTGAACTCTGTACCCCATATACCAGCCACTGGCCAACATCCTTCATTGAATAGACCAGTCACCCAGCACCTACCACTGAACCACCTTTATCTGCGCCCCACCTCCCTGATTAAATCTCCTCAAATATTGACAGACAGAGACGTGTCATGAGGGTTTCAGATTCCAGATCCAAGTTGTCTCTTCCCCTTTGGACATTGAACTTTTGATTACGAAAGACCCTGATGAGCGATCTTATGGAGAGCTGATCAGTTTTCCCTGCCTCATCCCTGAAATATCAGGTTTTTCCTGTTTTCCAGTGAGAGCTCATCTGAAAGTATGAAACTCTCAAAACTGTCAGTCATTTTGATAAAAATCCTACAGTCTTCATCCCTGAAAAGGAAAAAATTTTGTATTTTGTGTAATCTAATCTTGTAGTTGTTGTCCAGTTACTCAGTCATGTCCGACTCTTTGTGACCCCTTGGACTACAGTACGCCAGGCTTCCCTGTCCTTCACCATCTCCTGGAGTTTGCTCAAACTCATGTCCATTGAAGTCAGTGATGCCATCCAACCATCTTATCGTCTGTCGTCCCCTTCTCCTGCTTTCTGTCTTTCCCAGCCTCGGGGTCTTTTCCAATGAGTCGGCTCTTCACATCAGGTGGCCATAGTATTGGAGCTTCAGCATCAGTCCTTCCAATGAATATTCAGGACTGATTTCCTTTAGGATTGACTGGTTTGATCTCCTCACAGTCCAAGGGACTCTCAAGACTCTTCTCCAACACCACAGTTTGAAAGCATCAATTCTTTGGTGCTCAGCTTTCTTTATGGTCCAACTCTCACATCCATACATGACTACTGAGTAAAACATAGCTTTGACTAGATGGACCTTTGTCAGCAGAGTAATAAAATCTTGCAAATTTGTGGAAGGAGAATTAATGTTCAGAATATTTGACTTGTGAACAGTCATGCGTTACCAAGTATTGGGTTGGCCAAAAAGTTGATTCAGGGCTTTCCGTGGAAAAACCCGAATGAACTTCTTGTTCAACTCCATGTTAATAGATTCACATTAGTGGAAATTGAATTGGTGGTGTTTACCTTGCCTTTGTTTGTTGTTGTTGAGTTGTGTCTGACTCTTTTGTGACTGCATGAACTGTAGCCTGCCAGGCTCCTCTGTCCATGGGATTTCCCAGGCAAGAATACTAGTCGCTTCCCCCACATTGAGAGCTCATTTTTTAGGAAAGGACTTCTGACGGCCTAACATTCAGGGCCTTCCTTTCTCCTCCACTGCCCATCCAGTGGCCCAGCTATTTCCTTGAGTGAAGCAGGAAGTACCTGCCTTATATGTATGAATGAGTCCCTTTGTTGTTCACCTGAAACTACCTCAACACTATTAATTGGTTGTACCCCAATCCAAAATGTTTTTGGTATTAAAATAAAAAATTAAAGAAGCTCCATGCTTTTTCTAACAATAACTAACAATGAATGAATGTGTTGTGAAGAAAGCAGGGCAGTCAGGAACTGTGGGAACCAGTCAAAGAGCCTTGCCCTGTGTCAGGGCACAGTTGGGCCAGACGGGGCTCTAGGGTAGAGAATGCAGTGAAGTATTGAGGTTCTGTGCTTAGACAGCCCGGGCTGAGTTTACAAATGGGTTTGTGACTGTGCCTGACTTCCCTTGTTAGCCGTGCCAACACCATAGTCTTTGGATGTTTGCTCTGAATTTCATAGGCATGGTTGACTAGCTCTCTCTCCCTTTGTAGCTGTCACTAAACCTGACTTCCTGGAAAGCTCCTATCGAGGAATAGAAGTTAACTAGATTAACTCCTGTGCATGCCCTGGCCATGTATACATGTCAAACTTGTGTTTGTATAGCCATGATGGTTGTGAGAGGAGAAAATGTGGCTACTCCCTCGGGTGACCTGTCTTGTCTTATTTCTGTAGATGAATACTGAAAGCCTATATTTTTAAGTCTTGAAATCTTACTTTAAGGAAAAAATAGAAGACTATTAAAGACAAAAGAATATGTAGCACTTTCATTAACATGAGATGTTATCTAAAGTGAAACTATTTCCTAACCATCAAATTTGGAGAGGGTAGTGATTTCTCCACCACCCTCCACCATGTTGGTTGAGAGCAGGTTGCTGTAAACCCAAAGTCAGAAGCCTTTGACAGAGGGGAGAGGAGAGTCGACAGATGCCTTAAAGCCGAAGGTAGAAGGAAAAGACTGAGATTCTAAGCTGATGTGAAGGGACTGTGTCGGTCGCTGAGCCCTCGGTTGGCATTCAGTAAATACCATGTAGACTGATGATTGATTTCTGCATTAGTTGCTAGGAGCCCAGTTTGATCTGCATTTGCTTTGGTTATACACGATGTCCCTCTGGTTCTATGACATTGCCCTTGGCTATAACAGGAGACAGCAGCAATCACCAGAGGCCTAGACCTTCAGAGGGGAAAGGGCACTTGTGGAAGAACTCCCGCGGGGAAAGGAGAGAGGCTGGTCAGATGGCCTTGGCCAGTACTTGGAGAACGTACAGAGCTGCATAGGGCGTAGGAC